CAATTTTGCCACAAACTAGGAAAAAATTCCTTCTTGACCCCAAAATAGCAGTCAGATGACTATCTATTAATGATGCATTAATGATTAATGATACATTTATTAATAGAATATATTTGAGTTCCTTATCATTTTTTTTGTGTTGTAATCTCAAATTTGCTGGTGAAACACTATATCTAATCCAAATTAATAAAACAATGAAGCATAAGGATTTTTCTACTTTTTTATTCAATTCAGATTTTCATAAGATTGTATTATTTTGTATAATGTTCTTACTAGATCATCCTACAATAATTGTACAGATAATCGTCCAATAACAAATACTAATTGTCCAATAACAAATACTCTGCCCATCTGGAGAATTCATTAATAGGAGCACATAGTTTCATATTCAGCCGTGCTGAGTTTTGATGTTTGCATGTATTTCATAGCATAATTAGGGAAATATTAACAGCTTGCATGTTCTTTGTCTGCAATCAAAATAAAATCTAATTAAACAATATATAAACAGTCCTAATTAAAACATAAAACATGGTAAATGAATACCAACAAATAATGCGCGCATCATGAATCTGGAAACATAGAAACATAGAATGTGACGGCAGATAAGAACCATTCGGCCCATCTAGTCTGCCCAATTTTCTAAATACTTTCATTAGTCCCTAGTCTTATCTTATAGTTAGGATAGCCTTATGCCTATCCCACGCATGCTTAAACTCCTTTACTGTGTTAACCTCTACCACTTCAGCTGGAAGGCTATTCCATGCATCCACTACCCTCTCAGTAAAGTAATACTTCCTGATATTATTTTTTAAACCTTTGTCCCTCTAATTTAAGACTATGTCCTCTTGTTGTGGTAGTTTTCTTCTTTTAAATATAGTCTCCTCCTTTACTGTGTTGATTCCCTTTATATATTTAAATGTTTCTATCATATCCCCCCTGTCTCGTCTTTCCTCCAAGCTATACATGTTAAGATCCTTTAACCTTTCCTGGTAAGTTTTATCCCGCAATCCATGAACCAGTTTAGTAGCCCTTCTCTGAACCCTCTCTAAGCTATCAATATCCTTCTGAAGATACGGTCTCCAGTACTGTGTACAATACTCCAAGTGAGGTCTCACCAGTGTTCTGTACAATGGCATGAGCACGTCCCTCTTTCTACTGCTAATACCTCTACCTATACAACCAAGCATTCTGCTAGCATTTCCTGCTGCTCTATTACATTGTCTGCCTACCTTTAAGTCATCAGAAAAGTGAAGCAAGCATTAGAAAAAGGAAAACCAGAAATCCTCTGGGTATTTATTACAGACCATGTTAACAGACAGCAACGCTTAAAAAACAAATATTCCTTAAAAGACAAAAAGGTCATAGTGATCAATTGTGATCATGAAAAAGAATATTGAGGGCTATAGTGGGTACAATGTAAGCAGCTTAGTAATTAGTGAACACTTGAATCTAATGTGTGCCCACATTCATAAGTAAGGGATAGTTATGAATGTGGCGTTAGGAGACTGTTTACTAAAGGATGATTTAAATAACAAAATTCAGTTGAGATCAAAAAGCACAGTCAAGAAACATCTACAACACAGTCTAAAAAGTCTAAAGAAAGATTAGTTTGCAAATGGAAATGAGATGATAGACCACAAGACATACACTCTTCTAAATCTATGTTTAGTCAAGATTGCTACTTAAAATTAATGTAGTTTATGATAGTTGTGATTCTACCTGTTTGTGAATGCATTTATACGAAGGAATCCTGAAAAATAATAAAAAACAGAATATTAATTGCAGTATTATTATTGCTATTATAGCATAGCTATACAGTGCCAGATCTAAATAATATCTATTAATGATAAATCTAATGGAAAAAAAAGATGAGTCAAAATTTTTGTGAAGTCTATTTCAGTACATTAGGGCTAACTGAATTAAGAAATGTGAAATGTTATAGTTGAGAGGCATTAATGACAGATCATCAAGGTCCAACTTTAATACAATGAAAATATTAACCTTTAGTCTAACCAACCAAAATATGTTGTACTATTGCACCAGTTCCTCTTCTAACTAACCTGCTTATTGGCCCTGTTAAAAACAATTCTGCTTCCTTTGCATTTCACTTTTCTTGGCGCCATGTTTAAAACCTGGAATCCTGACGCTTAAAAAACATATTCATGCATTGACTTGTTATTTGTTCTGTTTTACATTGTTATGCCACTTCCAAGATATGGAATTTGGGCAAACAGCTGTTGGGCTCAAATTCACTCAGTTAAGACAAATTGATACAAATACATATGAATAAGATCAGTGAACGGGCAGTAAGGAGGCAAATTTATGGGCCAACAACTAAGAGCTAGCGGGAAACACCTGTACTCTAAACTCCTCTTTGCCTCTACTTTTTAATTTATTTCAATTTCTTGTTTTGTGTGTGATTGTATATCTCTCCTAGTTGTATGTGTATTTGTCCTTATCTCCCTGCTATGCATGTGTTTGTCTATGTCTCCTTGTTTTGTTTAGTTTCCACTTCCCATCCTCTCCTTTATAACTCTAGCAATCATTTCTAGTCCCCACCTTCTTCCACATACAGTATATAGTCGCTACGTATTGCAACTTTACTGAGTATAAAGGAAAAGTCAATGCATAAGAAAAGTTCAGTTCGATGTCATAAAAAAATAAAGCTAATTATAATAAAACATATATATGAACGCTTTTATTCAGAATCCTCTAATTATATGAACGCTTTTATTCAGAATGACATTTTTAGTATACTTATAACAACTGTCTCTTTTGCCCTCCCATATTCCCTTAACCCCCATGGTGTCTAAGGACTCATTCTAACATACTCCTACCCCAAGTGGGAGGGGACTTGCCCAAGGAGCATGTTATACACAATGACCCACATCATACCAAAAACGGACATGCCGTTTATTTACCGGAAATTGAAGTATCGCCATTTTGGATTTTCCACGTTCCGGTGCACACAATACACACTGGAAGCACTTGGATGACACTCATTCCGGGGTGGGATTTTTCATATATTTGGGAGTTGTGGAATTGGATGGGAACCTAGAGCTCTTAACATTTTTCGACATTATAGAAACTGGAAAACGAAAATAGTACCCGGAAGAACCATATATGAACATTGTAATTACACACCTATATCACACTTTGCTATTAATTTATGTAGAAATAGTATGTTTGTATCCTTATTGTCAGGTTCCCGCGGGCGGCTGCGAGGGGAGGCTGCACTCCGCTCGCAGTACTCACCCTCCAGCCGTCCGCGGTCCCCTCCGCCTCGTGGGTACGGCGAGCGGCATCCTTCCAGCCTCGGATGCCGCCCGCCGTTCCCTCCACGTCCCCCAGCGGCAGCATGCATGACGCTGCACGCTGGGAGACCGCCCAGGTTTATACACGCCGGGGTCAGTCACCTGACCCGGCGTTAAAGGCACAGTGCCTCAATCACAGTGGGAGGTCTAGATATCTCCCACGTGTGATTGTTAATTCTGATTGGAAATTATCCAATCAGAATTAACCTGATGGTTTAAATACTTACCTTTCCTGTTCCTCCCTGCCCTGTTGTGGTCTTTGCTTGCTAGTATTGCTACTTACCTTGTGCTTCTGGTTACGTACTCTCTGGCTTGTTTATCTGACTCTGTGACTTTCTCCTACCCTTTGACCTCGGCTTGTTTCACGTTATTCTGTCTTCTGGTTCCCCTTACTCGGCTTGTTTTCTGACTATTCTGTGTGTGCTTAGCCCGGCCACTCTAAGGTCCGGTACGGCACCTTTTGTGTGTGTGTGTGTGTGTGCCAGCGTGTTGGGTTCCCCGAATCGTGACATTACAACAGGGCCATAATGGAACCTGCTGACATACCACAGCTCCTAGTTAATCAAGAGGCTAGAATGGATGGCTTGGACCACCGTATGGATCAGTTTGCTCAAGCTTTGCAAACCATTCTGGCCCGTACTGCACACTTGCAACCTGCCGTTCAGGAGGCTGCTGCTGCTGTGCCCGAACCCATTTGGTGATGAATCCACGCTCCTATCCCACTGACAGATCTAAAATTGCCTTTTTGATAAACCACTTGTCCGGGAGAGCTTTAGCATGGGCCAACCCCATTTGGGAAAATACGTCTCCTATGTCCTTTGCAGATTTTCTGACAGCTTTCAGACGCACGTTTGATCAACCCGGTAGGGTTGCTTCTGCTGGCAAGGCTCTGCTTAGGGTCCGACAGGGTAACAGGTCTGTAGCAGATTACACTATCGAATTTCGTACTCTAGCAGCTGAAGTGGTTTGGAATAATGACGCCCTCGTAACAGCCTTTCAGGAGGGTCTGGCCGCTTATATACTGGATGAAATAGCATCCAGGGAATTACCTGCTCTTCTAGATGATGTTATAGACTATGTGATTCTTATAGATAACCGTATTAGAGAGAGGCGTAGCCAAAGACGGTTGGATACACGGGTGTTACCTGCTCTACCCAGTACTTCCCTGCTAGCGTTACCCGCTCCTGTGCAACCATCCCCTGAACCCATGCAGTTGGGTGCTACGGGGTTAACTGAGGCCGAAAGAGCGTACCGTAGAAGGGAGGGGTTATGCCTTTATTGTGGGAAGAGGGGGCATCACTGTAAAGCCTGCCCTAAAGTACAGGGAAACTGCAGCACCTAAGGCCTAGAGAGGGGTCGGCCTCGGGTGTTATGACTTTGTCCCCTCATATGTCCATCTCTAGACTGTTTATTACGGTTTCTCTCTTGGTCAATAAAACCACTATAACAACCAAAGCCCTGATCGATTCGGGTGCGGCAGACAACCTTATGGATGAGACCTTTGCCAAAACCGCAGCCCTGAATTTGATCCGAAAGGAGACACCCTTGGCCGTTGAGGCCATAGATGGTAGACCACTGGAGAAACCTCTGGTGACCCATGAAACCCAGGAAATAGTTATGTCTGTGGGTGTTTTGCACAAGGAGAAGTTAACCTTCCAAATAACTGACTCCCCAACAGCCTCCATCGTTTTCCCTGGTTAGTTAAACACAACCCTGTTCTTGATTGGGGTTGTTTAGACATACCCTCCTGGGGGGAATCTTGTCAGCGAGACTGTATGGCTCATGTATGTCCTGTCTGTTTACTTAACGTGCCCACGGCTAAACCACTCTCGGTTTCTGTTCCCTCTGTTTATGCAGACCTTGCCTTGGTTTTTGAAAAGAGGGAGGCAGATAAGCTACCTCCACATCGTGAGTATGATTGTGCCATAAACCTCTTACCGGGCACTATGCCTCCTAGGGGAAAGGTCTACCCTCTTTCTGAAAAAGAGAACCAGATCATGGAGGAGTACATACGGGAATCCCTAAGAAAAGGTTTTATTAGAAGGTCCTCCTCTCCTGCTGGTGCTGGTTTCTTTTTTGTGGCTAAGAAGGAGGGCGATTTGAGGCCATGTATAGACTACAGGGGTCTGAACAATATAACGGTTAAAAACGCCTACCCTATCCCCCTCATCACTGAGTTGTTTGATCGTGTTAAAGGTTCTAAATTCTTCACCAAATTAGACCTCAGGGGGGCTTATAACCTTGTCCGTATAAAGGAGAATGACGAGTGGAAGACAGCGTTCAACACACGCAGTGGGCATTACGAATATCTGGTCATGCCTTTTGGATTGTGTAATGCTCCTGCCGTGTTTCAGGACCTCATAAATGATGTCCTTAGGGATCTATTGCATGTCTGTGCTGTAGTGTACCTTGACGACATACTTGTGTATTCTCCTGATTTGAAGTCACACCATAACCATGTTAGGATGGTGCTCAAAAGGCTATTGCAGAACGGACTCTACTGTAAGTTAGAAAAATGTTTATTCGATCAGACCTCTGTGCAATTCCTAGGATATATCATTACTGAACAGGGTTTCAGTATGGATCCTGCTAAATTGGAAGCTATATTGTCCTGGCCACTTCCCCAAGGACTAAAAGCTATCCAGCGTTTTATAGGATTTGCCAACTATTATAGGAAATTTATAAAAAACTTTTCACCACTCATATCTCCCATAACAAAGTTGACAAAAAAGGTCTACACCCTAGGGTTTGGACTCCTGAAGCCCTTAAGGCCTTCGAAACCCTCAAGAAGGCATTTGCCTCTGCTCCAGTGCTGCACCACCCTGATCCTTCTCTTCCCTTTGTTATGGAAGTAGACGCCTCGGAGTCAGGTGTGGGAGCCGTACTGTCACAGAGGTTGTCTTATGACAAACCCCTCCATCCCTGTTGTTATTTTTCTAAAAGGTTGTCTGATTCAGAGAAGAATTACGATGTTGGGAACAGGGAACTATTAGCTATTGTGTTAGCTTTCAAGGAATGGAGGTACTTATTAGAGGGTTCTAGACACAAAATTATGGTTATAACAGATCATAAGAATCTATCCTATATTGCTGATGCTAGAAGGTTATCTGCCCGGCAGGCTAGATGGTCTCTATTTCTCTCACGCTTCCAATATGTTATTACCTATAGACCTGGTTGCCGTAATGCCAAAGCTGACGCTATCTCTCGGCAGCATGAACCAGTAGAATTTGTTAACCCGACTCCTGAACCTATTGTACCTGCGTCTCAGATAATAGCTGCTACCCGTTTGGTTGTTTCTTCACCTTTCCTTAATAGTATTAAGACATACCAAACCCAGGCACCCCCTGAGACGCCGGTTGGTAAACTATACGTTGAAGCTAATGACAGAAAAAAGTTGTTAACTTTATTTCACACAGCCAAAACTGCTGGTCATCCGGGGGTTACCAAAACCTACAAGGGCCTCCTTCAACAGTTCTGGTGGCCTTCACTCAAGCGAGACGTAGTGGATTTTGTTCAGGCTTGTCAGGTCTGCACGCAATGTAAGTCCCTTAATGTGAGACCCCAGGGTTTTCTGATGCCTCTATCTATACCCAAGAAACCATGGACCCACTTATCCATGGATTTCATTGTAGACCTGCCTCTTTCTGATGGTCAGACGGTGATACTGACTGTGACGGATAGGTTCTCTAAAATGGCGCACTTCATTCCGCTTAAGAAACTGCCTTCTGCGGTTCAGTTAGCTCAGGTGTTTGCCAAAGAAGTGTTCCGATTGCATGGGGTACCTCAGGATATCGTATCTGACAGGGGCCCTCAATTTGTCTCTCGGTTCTGGAGGGGCTTTTGTGCTGAGATGGGGGTCTCCTTGTCGTTCTCTTCCTCCTATCACCCGCAATCTAATGGTGCGGCCGAACGTGCTAATCAGTCTGTGGAATTGTATTTACGCTGCTTCACTAATGCGCACCAGGATGACTGGTCTCGCCTTCTTCCGTGGGCTGAATTTGCCAGGAATACGGTGTCTCATTCGTCTACTGGCTTAAGTCCTTTTGAGGTTGCTTATGGGTTTCGTCCTTCTGTCCTTCCCGGTGCGTTCTCCGACAAGGGAATGCCCGCCTTGGACCAGCACCTCGCCTCTTTGCGGAAGACGTGGGATCAGGTCCATGTTGCGCTGTCTCGTTCAGCAGCTGCTCAGAAAAAGTTTGCTGATCGCCGTAGGGTTGCGGCCCCTTCTTATGTTCCGGGTGATAGGGTATGGTTGTCCTCCCGGAACCTCCGTCTCAAGGTTCCCTCGATGAAATTTGCCCCCAGGTTTCTTGGTCCCTTCAAGGTGTTACGTAGGGTTAACCCGTTTCCTACTCCCTTGATCTGCCTCCTTCCATGCGTGTCCCGAACACGTTTCACGTCTCGCTTTTGAAGCCCTTGCTGTGTAACCGGTTCTCTCGTCCCCTCGGGCGGCCCGTTTCCCCTCGAGCTGTCTCTGACGACGTGTACGAGGTGGCTGCCCTTCTCGACTCTCGTGTTTCTAGGGGTCGGCTGCAATATTTGGTGGACTGGAAGGGGTACGGCCCTGAGGAGCGGTCCTGGGTTTCAAGCTCCGATGTGCACGCTCCCTCTTTGGTCCGCTCCTTTCATGCCCGCTTTCCTTTGAAGCCTTCCGCTTCCCGCCCCCTGGGCGGTCTTCGAGGGGGGGGTAATGTCAGGCTCCCGCGGGCGGCTGCGAGGGGAGGCTGCACTCCGCTCGCAGTACTCACCCTCCAGCCGTCCGCGGTCCCCTCCGCCTCGTGGGTACGGCGAGCGGCATCCTTCCAGCCTCGGATGCCGCCCGCCGTTCCCTCCACGTCCCCCAGCGGCAGCATGCATGACGCTGCACGCTGGGAGACCGCCCAGGTTTATACACGCCGGGGTCAGTCACCTGACCCGGCGTTAAAGGCACAGTGCCTCAATCACAGTGGGAGGTCTAAATATCTCCCACGTGTGATTGTTAATTCTGATTGGAAATTATCCAATCAGAATTAACCTGATGGTTTAAATACTTACCTTTCCTGTTCCTCCCTGCCCTGTTGTGGTCTTTGCTTGCTAGTATTGCTACTTACCTTGTGCTTCTGGTTACGTACTCTCTGGCTTGTTTATCTGACTCTGTGACTTTCTCCTACCCTTTGACCTCGGCTTGTTTCACGTTATTCTGTCTTCTGGTTCCCCTTACTCGGCTTGTTTTCTGACTATTCTGTGTGTGCTTAGCCCGGCCACTCTAAGGTCCGGTACGGCACCTTTTGTGTGTGTGTGTGCCAGTGTGTTGGGTTCCCCGAATCGTGACACTTATTGATTGATGCACCTGAGGAAGACCTGTCACGGGTCAAAATGCATAGTGCTTCATATTTATAACCAGCTCTTATTTGTTGTGTTTTAATAAAGTGCATTTATACTATTTATTCGGTTCCTGATCCTCTATTCATAAGGACAACACCAAGGAAACCAGATACACCACATCAACCTGAGAGTGTTGAAAATACCAACAGAGTCCAGAGCCAACCTTGAGGGCTCTCTAATTCTGAGTGTCCTCTATACTGTTTATGTAGATACCATGTAATACCGTCTATGCTAGGTTGCTTTTATATTTCTTTTAATAGATTTCCTCTTACCTACCCATACTGCTGTGACCTGCAATTACCATTTGTGCGCTATCATCTTATTTTACACTCCATAACTATAACGTTACACATTAATCTCTGATGCTGGCCAATTGGTGACAGAGACAAAAGCAAATTATAATAGGTTCAATGGAGAGAGTTCTGATATCCACGCCAAACCCTCAGCTTGTGTTCACTATGGCCAAGTGTAACTTTAGCTTGTAAGAGTTAAGGGACTATCTTGTTTTTGTTTTTTTAACTTTTACTGCAAAATGTACTGCATATTAAAGATAGCAAAACATTTGAAATTGTTGAACCCAAAATACAACTAAAATGTAACTTACAGTTTAACTTACAATTAGAAGCCATACATTGCAAAGATTGGAATACATCTAATCACAGTCCTATCTAATGTAAAGTATAAACATAATGGGGCTATCGAAGGGAAAATGTGCACATTTCTTTAACATTTCTATATATAAACAGGATTCTCACAATTTACTATTTTATTATTAGATCATGTAAAGTATTAATTTCCTTTTAAACCTTGTTGTACAAGGTATATGGATTAAACGAATAATGATAGAATTGAGGCACCCGAAAAAGTGGAACTCTACTCAACAGATTTCTCTCTTTCAATAAACCCAATAACCCTAAACTTTTGTTACTATATGAATTCTTTTTTATTTGCTAAAATGGTAAATAATAAAAAAAGACATGATGATTAAATGAATTGGAATGTTGGCATACAAGTAAATCTCAGCAGATAGAACATTTTCTCCCACATAAAAAAACATAAATGGTAGTTAACATGGTGTCTGCAATATGCTAGATTTCATCAAGTGAAGTTCTTGAATACTATTTCAAACAGAAAGCTTTTGTTTGTTGTGCTTGACATTTCCATTTCTCTGAATAATGTCTGCTCTTGGTCTGTAATAGTATAATTTCATCTTTAAGGAAATAATAATGTACCAAAATACGTGCTATAACAGAACAAATTGTCTTAAAAAGGATAGATCAATTAATTTTAAAGTGCAGATTTGCTTTACAAGCGTACAGAAAATGTCCATTAAAGATGGATAGATACAATGCATGATCAAACTGAAGGACTTCTGGAGAAATACCTAGAGGGGCATTTAGTTTCAGTGAATGGTAAGCTTTTATTTCCGGAAGCAATCGTCATAAGTAGCATCATTTTAAACCATCATCTCAATTAAAGCAGTACAACAAAATAGGCTAAAAATAATTTACTACTACAATTCGGTGCATACAAATAATGTTTTTGCTATCACCTGGAAAACAGCT